CCCCCCCCCCCCCAGTAGGTAACAATATATAGGTATAGCCCAAAGAAGGACAGCTTTCAAGTCAAAGGGTCAAATGTTATTCAACATTTGAATCCATATATAAACCCACAACAAAAGGGGTGTGGGGATTGCAATAGAGTGCGTTGACAAATAAGCAATGGACACTTATTGACAAAAGAATCATCAATTTGCATGCTCATAGTTCTATTACAATGAGATTTGAATCATTTGACTCAAGTTATAAAAAAAATACAAGGGTAAGCTGTTGAAAATCATACATCGCCTCTGAGCATCTGGACATACAAAATTATGAGGCACTCACGAACCACCGCGCCAATTTCCGAGGCACGGCTTATCTGTGAGACCAGACAGAGAGGTTGGAGTTTTATTCACTTACTTTACAGCCGCGAATATAGGGATGATCGAACTTTATATACTTGGTCCAAAAAGGCTTGTACTTTGCCATTGCCAACTCTAGCCAAGGTTTCATATTCCCATTGTAGTGTATAACTGCTGCATTCTCGATGTCGGCCCGATCAATGCTGGGGTTGTAGCCCAGCCCAAGGACATGCCATGATTTGTTAAGCGGATGTGTGAGCCCATAAAACGTTATCAGGCCTGGAGGCAAAGTCCCAAGCTTCCACAGTGCTCTATCTTCATTCTGTGAATAGACATATGGATTAACACATGAGTTCAGTGTGTGTTTGTGGTTCCATATACAAATGTTACAGAAATTTCCTCCTTAATTAGTTATTTCCTCTACCTAGCATTTCTGAGTCCCAAACAGACCTTAGTTTTCACATTGAAGAATGGTTCTATAGAGTATCGTGAAAAAAATAACAGAATATATCTGGTATGTCTAAGGAAGGCTAAAAGTATTACCATATTTTGCCATTTGTGGTAAATTCCAGTGATATCCTTCTTCTTCCACTCCTTCAGATCAAACATGTTCATCCCATATGCCCACCCACAAGCATTGGGGTCAAAGTTTCTGGCAATATGAGGGTTTGAGAAATTCAAGTACTTATCAAAACGGTGAAAGCTTTGCCCACAGGTTTCAACAGCACCATTCACTTTCCCATGAAGATCAACTGACCACAACGGGGTCAAGTCCTTCTGAACAACAATGTCATCGTCGAGAAAAAGGATTTTATCCAACTTAGGGTAAACCTCGGGCAGATAAAACCGAAGGTGATTAAGCATTGAAAGGTACTTAGGGTTTCTGTACTTCAAATTAGAAGAACCGGCAGATAAGGTGGTGGGATGAGCAGCCTTGAAATAATACTCCTTCATTGCTGCAGACTCTAGCTGTCGGAGAACGACACAATAAGAAGAGTTAAGCCACTTAAACTCATCAACATTCTCAACATGTATGGTGGCTTTCCCAGGAGGATTCAACAAGAACCACATGTTCATGGCTCCAAAGTTCAGCTTATCCGTAACAAGATGAAACACGTGTTTCTCTGGCTCCTGCAAGACATTCCAAGTGGAATTTCCAGTGATTAAAAATGTAGTAACAAAGTAGTAAGAATGACAGTCGAATTCCTTCCTATGCCATTTTGTTCTTAAAGTTCATTGATCATTGCATCAATATGTTACCCTAGAACACTACCTACTTTCCAACAAAATCAGAGGCTATCCCTCATAGATTGCAGGTCCCCTTGCACAAATTTGAAGATGAATTATTAACTTAATATACAGGTATTTGAGTTAGATAAAAAATACTCTTAGCCAAGGGTTCGATTCTGCACTCAAGCAAGATAAAAATATGCTCTTGAAATATCAAAACTGAGAGAGAGAGAGAGAGAGAGATTTTACTAGTTAAAAAGAAAGCAAGATGCATGTGCTACGAGTAAAGTTATGAAATGGTATAAGAAGACGCAATACCTTGGCATTCATGACAGTAGAATTGACGACGACAGAAGCAGCCAAGACATTATCAGAAAACAAGGCATAATGGTAAAGGTGCGGGTTTTCAAAATTATCAGACTGCGGAAATTTCCTTTTTTCAGGGTGTAGGAGGTAATAATCTATAGTTAAGCGCATCGATAAGCAGTGGATCCCATTAGGAATTGTCTTTGCAGCTAATTGACTCAAAAATGTGCTCTGTCTCTTCAAACTCCTAACTTCCTCATCTGCAGTTTGCAGCATTGCTCTTAGCTTCCCTGTAACCAGCTTACAGTCATAAAGTTGTTCTCTCGATTTTGAAAGTATTTGGCCCATAGCCTTAAGTTTCTCATGTGCACTGTTGATCAAAAAATAGATCACATCGTCATAATAGTACCATGTACACCAGGCACTATGTAAATGATATGAATAAACAACACTAGCCAAGCATTTTGATTACCTGCGAGGAAGATCAGAATCAGAACTTGCTTCCCCCAAAGCACGTTGACTTTCTTTTATCCGTTGTTGTAAATCTGCTGCCAAATCAGCCCTCTTCTTCATCCCTGCAATGCTTAAATAAACCCTTGCCATGATCAATTGATCTCGCATCAAACGTACAGTGGAATCAATATTCTCGTGGTCATTTTCCCTCCTCCATATACTGTACTTCCCCAACACTGCAGAGTCGACTGACTTTGTGCGTTCAATGGCTGCATTTTCAAGCTTAATATTTACTTCATCATCCTGTTTTAACAAATCTGCAGCACGTTTTTCACGTCTTTTCTGTCTCAATTGCTGCAGTCATCAAATAGGTGTAAGAATAAAAAAGAAAAAAATCCCTACAAACCCAAAGAAAAACACATAAGAATACTTGAAGGAAATAAGCAGTCATACTTACTCTCCGGTAAGATTTTTCAGGTGTATCCATAAACTGAGAATGATCTTCTGCAGAATAAAAATTCTATATGGGTTACAAAATAAATTCAAATACATTTAAGAAATAACCATTTCTGCCCTGATTAGACTATAGAGGAGTCAATTACCATGTAGAAGCTCATCCTTTCTTCTTGAGGTTTCTTGTTTGATAGCGGCAATGTTTCCTTTTGACTAATAAGCAGACATTCGAACAAATAATAAAATCAGAAGCCTTAAAGTTATATGAAATTTCATTCACAGGTGTATTAGATATACATATTAAATCTTAACCCTAACTATCTTCCTGACCTCCAAAGAAGAGCTAGTATTCTTGGCAGAGCCTACTTGCCCAACAAACCTCCATGAAGCTGATAAATTGTTCTTTCTAAAAGAATCAAGACTTAGTGGACCTAAATCGTATGTACTGGACTTGATTAGATCAACTA